CCTGACAAATAATTTATATCAACGTTTATTTCTTGCTAAAAATGGAGAAATTGTCTATTTCTTCGCGCGTTACGCCTGTTCAGCATATGGTTATCCCATACAAGCTCCAAATCTGATCTGGATAATATTTATATCGCATTATCTCTCTCAATGTGATTACGCATGTGACAACCCAAAGTACCTTAAGGAGCACTTCAGGTGATAATTTTCTTGGTTCGATGGGTGTCACGATCCTGGAGCTCCAGGGAACCCTTCTCTTTCATTTCCCTTTCTCTTATTAGCTTTAACTTTCTCCATTATGATTTTTCTCTTTAAAGATTGAGGCTGGTCAAGAGGTACCGTTACATTCTTTGTTTGTAAACTTAAATTATGAGAAAACTGTCAATGTCTTTGCCGCGCGTGAAGACCCCTGTTGTTGAGAAAACAGGATCTGACAAATGACAGGCAAATTACTGCCGCAACATGCTGCTTTAGCCTCTACCTTAGTTAAACGGAAGGCACTTAATTGTCCTTACGAGTGTCAATCGTCTGGACGTCGGAACTTAGTGCTTCACTGGTGGCCATGTGGTCAAGATCGGCATTTTCGCCTTTTTAAGATTCAAATCAGCATTAATCACTTTGTTTACAGTTGATACTTAGCATTTTAATGATTATGCAACTGTCCTTTGAATTCGAAGATTTTCTTTTACCATTAAATTCTTACCCTTATAACATTTCGTTTTTCCCTTGAATATATATTTTGAAAATGTTTTCTCATGGAAGCCAGACTAAATTAGCAACATGCGAATTAACTCATGACCTAAATGCGAATAAATTCCTTCGAAAAGAGCACAAGCGTAGCCTTCCTTCCATTGTTTTTTTAAAAGCACTATTTTACATGAAAACAAAATTCAAATATTAGACGATAATTTACACTTTCAAAAATATAATTGCAGTTAAAAAAATTTCAAGCAGGCGATTTTTTATAGCCGCCTAGAAATAGAGGAATTGATATCTCCTTTGCTTATATCCGTGCTGATCGCGGTTTCTATGGAAACGAAAGAGCTGATTTCTTAGCTAAAGATTCATTAAATTTACCCATTGATATCAACATCAGCATTCCAAAGAGCTGTTGGAAGTTTTTTCATTATAAAAAGCTTTTAGCTAAGTGGAGTGAGAAATATATTTCAACTTGTAATGCTGAGGTCACTAAAACGTTCTTTCCTTCTATTTACCATAGACTGCATTCCGTGTCTTTCCTCTCTTTAAATTTTAAAGTTTGTCAATTTTTATCTGATCAGGGTAAATTTGCAAGTTAGCTGTTTCGTTTTAATCTACGATCAAGCATATTATGTGAATGTTCAAGAAGAGTGCCTCAGGATGTGGAAAATTTGATTTTTTCATGCCCTAAATTGGATGGCCCTAGATTGTGCTTGCAGAACGATTTGAAAATGTTTGGAGTGACTTGGCCAGTGAACTTATCTGTTTTCGTGAAGTTCCGCCTGCTGTTCTCTGCTTTGTGTTCGTTCTATTTATGCATGTAACTTTAAATGATTTAGTTAACTTACATCCGTAAGCCTCGTGTTGTACATATGTGGTGCATTTTATTATAAATAATATTCTTTAAACATTGAAAATCACTGAAAGATCACTCAGTAATATAAAAAATATGTTATTATTTAAATAAAATAAGCCATTGATATAAACAAAAAATATTTGAGTAATAATTAACATTTACGTAATAAATCCCTTTTTGAAATGTGACGTCAAAATACATTCTAGAATATAAAGCAAAATAATTTGCTGTAAGAGCATTTAGTAGTTTATCAGAAATATTTCCTTTATTTCGTGACAAATGAAATGGTGTAACTTAGAATGAATTAGCCCAAAATGTTTTCTTTCACAAAAATATAAATGATGTTACTACGCGTTATAAAATATGTTTTGGCTAGCGCATTTAGTGATAGCAGTTTAAATCAGAACAAAAAGACGAATTACAATATAATAATATCGATTATTTTCTTGCAAATAGTTTCAGGTCAATAGTATTGACAGGAAGAGAACAGATGAGTATAAAATTAGCTGCCGGAAAGGAAAGTGCTGGCAACAGAAACACAAAGTTTGGTAAATTACGAAAAATAACAACCTTTCTTGGCAGGTAAAAGTCTCTTTGGCTTTACCAGTATTCGTAGACTGAAAACTGCTCTAACAATTTGATCTAGTCATTTACACATGCTTGTTAAATTCTTCTACACCAGGTCCTTTCATAAACAATTAATATGTCGACAGCAGTGAATAAATTTCTTTCAATAAATTCAATTTAAAATTAACAACGGTTTTGTAAATACATTATATGAACTCCGAAAGCAACAGAGAGCTCTTTTTGTCCATGAATAAACAGATGTCATGTTATTTAGAAAAAAAAAAAAAAAAAAAAAAACTTAAATAGTTGAAAATAAAAAAAGAAATCTGAAAAATTTCAGATTTTAAATTACGTCCAAAGGGTTTTTTTTAACGTTTTGTGTGTTATCTTCATTTATTAAATATCATGTTCTACGTACTCAAACTTTAAAATTCAGTTCAACAGCAGTATCGCAAATTAATTTAAAATGAACATATCTTTAGAATTTATGATACAGTGTCTCGTACGCTGGAGATAAAAATGTTTTTTTTCGTACAGTGTTGCCATTGTTCGCTTTGAAATCGTTTGGTGTTTTAATCAAAAATTAGTTGAAGTGTTACAAAATATGAAATCCATAATAAAAAAATTTCAAATTCAAATTAGGGCTTCCACATGCCCATATTCAATGAAAGATTACGTTATTCAAATTTTGATGGCTCTAGTTACTGTTGTTTTATCACAATCGAGAAACATATATACATTTATGAAGCTTCTTCATTATTTAATTTCTTTAAATATAAGAGAGGACGATAATATATGGTGGCAACTATTTGAAAAGTGATACAACCTTTTAAAGTTGTAGAGTCATTAGGAATTTTGGAAGCCGGAGAGATTAAAAATTAGCAACCGCCTTCGCCGGGAATCGAACCACGGACCTCTGGAATACCGGTCCAACGTGCAGAATCACTACACGACGAAGGTACGCTAGGAAAGCGGGAGAAATACCTTATAAAGTTTTCAACGCAAAATGCCAAAACGAAATTAATAATCCTTCAGGGCATGTTTGCCTTTGGACTAAAAAATAATGTTGTTGCAAAGAGTCGCAAAGCGTTTTGCGGAAGGAAATAGGAAAGAATAAATTAAAAAATTGCATGACAATGGAAAAAATAGTTTGTTATGGGGGAAAAATATTGTAAGGAATTGATTTCTTCAGAGTGATTTTGATGAATATGGAAGGTTTTGAGAAAATTTAATTCACAAACAGCAGACATTTTTGAATATTTTAGTGAAAACAAAATAAAATTTAATATAAAATAAGCAATGATTAAGCTTATGGTAATCTAATAGTGTAGTGGCCGATCGCTAAATTCGCTGAACACTAGTAGTTCTAACCTGGTTTCAGTTCTAGGCGAATGGGCTGGCTGTATGTGCGTTTTTGTGGTAACCGCTTGTATGTAATATAAGGATATAAGATAATTTATTAGTGCATTTACATTTAGAGGAAACAGAATATGACGCTACTTAACCATCTTTTTTTTTCTGAGCGAGATTAGAAATCAATTATTTATTATTGTATTGTTTCATGTAATACTATGACTGATTAAAGACTCGACTGAGTCTCTCAGCTTCCTTATCATGGCATTCTAATCACGCAAAATAAATTTATATTAATATTACAATTTATCGAAGAAACTGTTGCATTTCGTTTCGCAAATAATTCAAAATGGTCAATAAGAAATAATACCTAGTGAAGAAAAAACTTTTATTTTTGCTCACCACACATTTCATATGTTAAAAAATTAACCGTTTATTTAGAATATATTAAGAAAAACTAAATGACAACATTAAGTTAAAATAACAACTGTGTTTTCTTTCCTTTTTTGGGGGGGACCGTGCACCATATTTAATTAGGACTTTGACTAGATGGATCAAATACCTAAAGCTTGGCTTAGTATGGTTTTCAAAGAGAAAAGGTTTAGCGTTTAAAACTATGGAGGAACTCACCTTTTCTTCAGTCATTAAAATCATTTCCCTCAAGGATAAAAAACTAGTACTTTTTTAAATTAAAAGATGAAAGAAAATACTAAAATTCTATATTGAACGTATAAAGTATTTTTCCCACTTTCCTACCGTGCTTTCGTGGTGTAGTGGTTCTGCACGCTGGGCTGGTATTCCAGAGGTCCGTGTTTCGCTTCCCGGCCTAGGCGATTGCTCATTTTTCATCTCTCTGTCTTTTCCAACTTATCTAATGTCTCTACAGTGGCGCCCGAACTAAAAGGGTGTTGGATGGTGATTCTCCACACCCAGAATTCGCCAAATGGGTCCCCTAAAAACTCCAGTCGCCTTTTAAAAAGGGGAGCATATAAGGTATTTCGCTCGCTTTCCTAGGGTGCCTACGTGGTGTAGTGGTCCTGTGGGCCGGTATTCCAGAAGTCCGTGGTTCGATTCCCGGCGAGGGAAGGTGACTGCTCATTTTTCACATCTCTGGCTTTTCCAATTAACCTAATATCCCTACAAACAAATATTCTAATGCATGTTACTTAAGTATAACAATTTAATTCTGGATTTAAGTCAACTGACTTGAGAAAAACAACAGTCCTTTGCAAATTCTGTGTATACAAACATAGAGAGTGACTACTAAAAATAATTTCTTTTAATAAATTTGATTTAAAAATTACTGTTTATAGCAAAACATTGAAGAAGGATTATTAATACAGAAATTAGTTTGATTATCTTTATTGTCCATTTAATATTTAAACAAAAGATGTTTGTGGGGAATTTATATATATTTATGTTTGTCTGTGTTATGAATCATTTTATTCATTCATAATTTAATAATAATTCCAACAAATAAAAAAAATCTGCCTGTCCTTCATTTTTTTTAAATTTCAAATTTCAGAAACCCGGCATTATCTCCTCATAGTAGAGACGCACATCTGGATAGTAGCACAGCAAAATACTTCAAAAATGCTTGGCCATTGTACGAGCCGGTGCAGCAGAAATATATAAGTATATGTAAGTAGAATACCATCTCTATTTAAAATTTTAAATAAACTATTTTAATATAGTAAAGCTATAAAAGTCCATAAAGGAATTTTTTGCATTGTTATAAATATGTTTAATCAAAGTGTTACATAATTTTACCAAGTGCAGGTAAACAGATGAAGGATTGTTGCCTTAAATTTGCAGCTTACCTTTAAAATAAATAAGCTGTACTAAGAAACAAATTAGAGAAATACAAATACCTGCATTTTATGAAATAATATGAAAAATGCTTTTGCATTAAATTTCTTATAAGTAGTAAACGCTGTGTTTTTAATTGTTTGAAAAATTGATTTTGCTTAGAAAATGAGCTTGCTTCTTAAAAACTTTATCTTAGATCATGCATGATATTTGTCGCTATGGTAGAAAATTTTTCATTGATTTTTAACCTGGTTCTTCCTTTTTTTTTCAAAAAATCCAATGCGATATTCAATTCAGTTTTTTTATTGTACTTTGAAACGATTTCTCGCGCATTCTTCCTTTTGCACTATTCCTGGTTCCTGATTCCTATTCCTTTTGCACTATTCCTGCTACAGAAAACTTGGTTCTTCTTTTTGTTTTTCAAAAAATCCAATGCGATATTCAATGCAGTTTTTTTTTTTTTTTTTCAAATGTACTTTGAAACGATTTCTCGCGCATACTTCATCTACGAAAATGCTAGAAATTTCACAATTTTAGTGGTTACATCATTATATAAAGAGGAAATAATCTTTTAAAAGAAATTTATATCAAATCTTCAACATAATTTCTGATTTGGGGTGAATTTTGGAAAATCACTCCTTTCTATTATAAACTGTAAAAAAGTGGGAGGTATAGATATAAAGGATTAAAGATGGTTTATTGCGTGGATATAACTTAATAGGGCTTTAATGCACAGGTGGAAGGATGATACTTGCAGACAGACGTAGCTACAGATTCAACAATAGTTTTATAATTGGAGAAAGCCAATTCTTAAGACGCATCATTAGACGCCTATAATGATTAGCATCATTATAGGCGCAATATGCACCCCACATTTTTGGAAAACTGAATATATCACGATACAATGGACAGAACAGAGAAATGAACAGTGACATGTGTTGGCCAGAGCGAAATAAAGCGCAAAGTGAATGTATTCAGAAAAAACGTTAAAAGAGAGAAGTCGACATTTCCGGGAATAACTGAAATTATTAATCTGATTGGATGAGAGGTGTGTGCATTGCTATGCTACGTACCATAATATGATGCAGATTAATTTTGAAATGACGTTTTGTATATTAATAGATTATAAACAGTTACTATTTACAGGACAGGGAAGAAAAATGCCCAAATTAAGAATAAAAGAGGACTCTCTCCAATTAAAATTAAACGTTTGCTGTCATATTTTTAAAATATTTTATATATATGTATATATTTGTATATGTGTGTGTGAAAATGTATGCGTGTTAAACATAAAAAATAGGTAAACCTAAATTATAAATTAAATTAGCAATAACACCTTAATACTTCATTTTAATTTGGGTGTTTCTCTCTGATTAAAATTAACCATTTATTAAAATAAACGTTTCTTTACTGCATCATTTCTAGATTGCTCCAAATCAGATGACTTTACCATAACACTCTAAATAAAATAACATACGTAAGCCTTCAGCCAATAATAATTTTAGAACTTTATTAATTATTGAATCAAAATTAAATCGAATTCAAAACTAACCCATTCTGAAGTAAGATTCATTCTGAATTACATATTTACTCTATGCACCTTATCCTAGCTATAACACTTCTGTGCCTTTGTTCTTACAAAAACGATATCGAAAATGTAAATGGTACGTCCTAAAACGGGCCAATTGATCAGTTCAAATTATTTATGGCTGAAAAATATTTAACTGAAATAAAGTGAATATTTAATATTTGCCATGACTGCAAACTTTTGTTATTTTGTGCTCAAAATGTGTTTACGTCTGTATGTATGTGTGTATGTATAATAAAAACAGAAAACGACGTACCACGTAGATGGCTCAGAACGTAGTAGACCCAATACGGAAGTGGAATAATATTAATTGCGTAGTATTATCGCGGCTAAAATATCGAATTCGTACGTGATTGCGAAAATTGGCAGCCGAGTAATATTAAATATTCATTTTTATTGCAATTGACAATTGTGGCCACAATTTAATTGGCAATCTAATCGTGTGTTTTTCGAGACTAATTAAATTTTTTATACTACTGCTATGGTAAGAAAGCATAGCGAAATACAGTCCAAGCAGCGCAGAAGTTGAAGCTAAGCTTGCGCATTTATGCAATATGGAAGATCGCCAAGAGGAAAGTTTTGGAGATTTCAATTCTCGATATTTTGTGCTTAAGTTCTGAATGATCTACGTCATCAGCGTTACGCAAGCCGTGTGATATAGATTTATCTAGAAATGACGCAGTCTAGAAATTTTATTAATTTTTTTAGAATAAATAGGAAATAACCAAATGCAAAAGGAGGATTTAAAAGGGTATTAGTTAATTAAAATTTACAAAATAGGTTTCCGCATTAGGAAATGAAACTATAAATATTTATAATATACATATGATATAATGGAATCTTTTTAAGCACAAGAAAAGTCGATGTGGCATTTGATGATCATCAGTGCAGTACTTTCGTAATGATATGCTTTGGGTTAACCGTTATAATTTGCCTATGTATCTTCTGAGAATAGTGCAAAATTATATAGAGCATGTAGAGACATTAGGTTAATTGGAAAAAACGGAGAGATGAAAAATGAAGAAACGCCTTCGCCGGGAATCGAACCACGGACCTCTGGAATACCGGCCCAGCGTGCAGAAACACTACACCACGAAGGCACGCTAGGAAAGCAGGAGAAATACCTTATAAGCAAAGATGTTTTTGATGAAGATTGAAGTTTTATATTCTCAAAATATTTTGGTTAAGGTTTTACTAAGAAGAGATGAATGCATATAATAATATCATATAATCAATCTTTAATGAGTTCATGTTATATCAAAATTATGAAAAACATCATATCAGGCCAGGAGACTCTTCTCTTTCAATTAAATAAATGAATAAATATGTTTTTGAATTATATTCAACGAGTGATTACTCATAAGCATTTTTCTGATTAATATCATATTGATATTTTCAAAGATTATGAAACGATTTTTTACAAAACAATTTTCGGCCTTACAATATAGCGGTTTCGCAAATCTTCAATTTTCTGAGCAATGGCCATTATGTAGATGCTAAGGGTCATTAAGTAAATTGCGAATTCGTTTTAGAATGCTTAAATTCTTGATCCCTATGGAATTTAATTAAAGTTCTATATACGTTTTTGTGGCATTAGTGTTATTCAAATGCATACGCAATATTCAGCATTATTAAAGGTTTTTTAAACAAGCGTGAAATTGTTTTGAATTTTGTCTTAACTTTGAAATCAAATTTCAGTGCAAATACCTTTTGCTTCAGTTTTTCTTCTTACCTTTTTACGAAGATATTTTTACGATATGTTATCTTTGTGCTATTCAGGCATCCCTTTTTATTAAAAAAGACTAATTCGTAAAATTTCCACACTACAAATAAGATTTTCATAAATTCTTGCAAAAAATTATTTTTATATTTACATATGTATTAAAATGTTTTTATCGATTTGAAATGTTTTACCTCTTTATAAGCTGAAATATGAAAGATAATTTCTCAATATTTCGTAACTTTTCTTTTTAGCGACAAATATGTCATTAAACACTTTCAACTTGTTTTTGTCTTATGTTTGTTTTCAATTTTATGATTAAGTTTTGAGATTTTGCCAAAGTTATATGCTTCCTTGTGTTCTGGCACCTTTGGGATGAATTTAAGTTCTTTTCTTTAAACGAGGCATAACTATTTTATTTAATTTGATCATAAAAGAAAACTTTATATATTTTCAGCTCATTGAGAATGTAAGTGCAAAATAAATATCTATGTGCAAAGGAATCAAGAATTAGAGTTAAACAATGAAGAATAAACTGATAAGTAAAGTAACTAATTAAGAGATCTGTGAGAGATTTGTATCGTCTTGTGAACATGACAGAACAAACTGACAAGCATCCAAGCTTAATACTCCATCTAATGCAAAATATTTAAATTTAGGGTTTGTTACAAAAAGTCTAGAGTTTTGTCGACATTTTCTCTTCCACATATATTAAACCACAACGTTACTATTAGATTTCAAAAGACCCTAGGGTTTAACAGCAAGTCCTTTTAAAATGAGCTTACAGAAGTTTAAACTTGTTCCGAAATTATAAATCCGCCATAGGCTGAGCGGTATAAACTCGTCGTCTCCAATTAGCATGAAGTAGTAAAATAGAATTTTAGCCTGAAAATTAACATATCCTCCGTCATTCTGTAAAAGGACGAGATTCATCTGTCGACAAACAAAAGAGTTGATTTGGTAAATTAACCGTTTGTGGAACATGTGCAATTTAATGGGGATTTCGTAAAAGGGGATTAGGGCCTCGAATGACTCTCACTTCTTCGGTGAAAGGAGAGAGGATTTAGGAGGAGATTATTTATAATCGCCCGGCAATTGGAAGACTCAGAGGTAATGACGATGAGTTTCTTAAGACTTTTGGGCTGGAATTTATTCGCTGCAAGGACTGCGAAGTGTCCTGAGAGAGTGGTTTCAGCCCAATTTTTGGGATGTTCTGAGTCATTCCCTTTTCCTTGTGGTGAATCGGAATTGCCAATAAAGATTATTACATCACTTTGGAAGAGCTTGGAAGTTTATTTTCCTCTCTTAATGTGTAAACGGCTTAAAACTAAACAACTTCTTACTGAGAAAAGTTGTTTCTTACAGAAATCTTTCCTAATAGGAAGAATATCTCAGATTGAGGTTGGGAACGAAATAAATGAATGCTTTACTGGAAATTAGAGAAGGAAATTATTAATATCTAATTGCGTAACATTAATGTAAAGAAATAAAATATTATTTCCTATATAATTTATAAAGAAAGAT